GGAACCGTTTGGAATCCTATTGGGTAACCCCTCCACCGCTTCCAGCTGAGTGAAGCTCAGGTCTCCGGGGGTCCCTTTGCATGCCAAGGCGGCCAAGCTGCTGGGGCTGGTCCGCAGCTGGCGCCTGAGCTAAAGGCTGGGAAGAAAAAGAGAGAGAGAGAGAGAGAGAGAGAGAGAGAGAGTGAGAGAGAGAGAGAGAGAGTGAGAGAGAGAGAGAGTGAGACACAAAAAGAAAGGCGAACAGACAGAGAGAGAGAGAGAGAGACAAAGAGAGAGAGAGAGAGAGAGAGACAGAGAGACACACAGAGAGAGAGAGAGGGAGGGAGAGACAGGCAGGCAGGCAGGCAGGCAGGCAGGCAGGCTTCTGCATGGCGTTCGCTTCCCCTCGCTTCTAGATCTGTCATTGGCTTCCGGTGTCAACAGAAGGGAACTCACACACACGTTGGACGTGTCTAGCTCCGCTTTCATCTGCAGAACTGCCTCCGCTCGACTCGCTCGCGCCTGGGTCGCATCCGCCTGTGAGAGCTCTCCCGGCAAATAGAGCTGGACCTCAGCATGTTTGTCCGCACGCGTTTTTTTCTTCCTCGGTACACCGGTTTGCTGATGCCAAGTAGACACCTCTGAAAACTGGAACCACCCGCTCTCCTCTCCTCAAACATCCTCCTTGCTCCTCTCGCTTCTTCCAGGTGACTCCCGCAAGGCTTGGGGGTGTCTGCCACTCGTGCGTCCAACACAAAGGGCACTTTAATCCCGAGCTAGATACCCCTCGGCTCCCATCCTCACTAGTTCCAATTCAACCCTTCATGGTTTGGTTCGGTGGTTTGGGTTCAAATCCCAAACCAGCCATCCAAGCCACCACTTAAGGGGTTGCGGAAGATTGGGGATTTATGTCAATCCAACCGTGGAGGTTCCTCCAAGTTCGCGAAATGTACGCTGAAGTGTCTTGCATGACACCCGAGGGCTGTCAAGAATGTTCACTACCACCGACTCCAAAATGCCTTCGTTTAGGAGTGCACCTCACACCGACTCAACTGGGAATTCGGAGAGGGTAGTTGTGAGCCCACGAGGCTGTTTCGGGCTTTCGGCTTGAATCGCGCATTGAGCTGCGGTCAAAATATATTGCCTGCCTAGCAGAAAGGACATGCGGGCTGTAGGTTTGGAGTTTCATGTCTTTGCTAATTTGGCAATGACCAAACCCCCGGCAGATCCCCTTTCCGGGGATTTCATCTACAATCGAGTCGTTTGTGCAACTCTGTTCGGGGCATCCATGAGTCCTTGTTGCAACTGGGAAAGGCGCTCCCTCACGGCCTCTGGACACATGGCTATGGGTCAAAACCCAAATCGTACCCCCAGTGAACATCCGATTCAATCCCCAGTAAAACAGGTTCTAACATGGGTGGTGAATTCACCTACCAACCAAAATGGGATCCCATGGGTGTTAACCCACGGCCAAATTTCTGCTTGTCAACTTGACAGTGCATCGCTTCGCTTCCGGCGCTATGCTCCACTTGGCTTCTGAGGCAACTGCCCAGGATGACCAAGATCCCTCGATCCCCGTGAGCGAGAGCCGGCGCTCGTAGACGTAGCTCTGGGTCTTGAGGTTCCTACAAGATGGGTCTGCCGCTTTTTGAGGGTACCCCGTTTTGGGGGATGTAATGGGAAACCAGGAAAACACCAAAAAAACACGCATTTTGGGGGCCAAAAAAAAGAAGAGAGGCTCAGATCACCCCCTGGGAGCGCGCGCCGTGGATTGGAGGGGGGTCGGTTGAACCAGCAGCAACGGGTTGAAATCTAGAACCGACCCTGAGTTAAACGCGTCAAGTATCCAGCTGTATCCTGCTGGAAAGCCCTGATCATTGTGTTGCCATCTTCCAAAGGGCCATCAAACATGTCCAGAATCGCGATTGCTTCCGAAGTGATCCGCGCAAACAAAAAAACGTGCACATGTTTCCGAGCATTCAAAAAACCAAACAAGCCTGTGCAAATGACTTCCATTTGGTTGAGACCCCTGGGAAAAAGAACATATTTCACGTAGTGATAGATTCCCTGTAAAACCAACAGGGAAACAAAAAAACATTCTTCAGCAAATGGAAAATGATGGGGGCTTGTTCTGTCCCTCTCTCTCTCTCTCTCTCTCTCTCTCTCCCAGGCTGCCCCTGTTTGCCCACAGGTGGGAGCTCCGCTTCAGTCGAGAGCCCGGCCGGATGGAGATCCAAAGGATGTCATCGGAAGACCTGAGAGGAACACCCAGGGAAGCTGCTCTCAAATTTATCCAGCTGTAAAAAATGGGCCGTGGTCCTTGCGATTCTGCCCCCATCTCTCAACTCCAAAGGCAAAGCTGACTGGAGCATCATCCCTTCACAGCCCAGTTGAGTGCCCTTCACATTAAAACAAAAAAGCATCTCCCTCGGATCTCCCCATAAAGCGCGGTCGATTCCCCTCCAACAAGAAAAAAACAACTTCATCTCCCCTGCAAAAGATTTCCCTCCCAAAGTTGCCCCCCCCTCAAGAAGTCTCTTGGTTAGAGCCACAAGACGAGTCATGGCCCCTGGTCGCCGCTTGGCTCCGGTCGATGGTCGGCTCTTCAGCAAAGGCGCTCCAGGCACACCTTGTCTTGAGACAGGCTGTGGCCCGGGAGGAAGCACTTCCCCACCTGCGTCCACAATCCCCAAGTTTCCCTGGGGAAAAATAAAGTGCAGTAGTGATAGATTCCCTGGAAAACGGGACACAACAAATGTTCTTAAGCAAGTGGAAGGTGTCATTCAGTCAATTGAATCCCTCTCGCTCTTGGGGACGGATCCTAATCCTAAGGAAATGGGACCATAAAACGAAAATCGGGGGTCACCCCACCTCCCCAGTTCCGTTTGTTCAAGGGTGAGATGAGTACAGAACGTTTTTGCTTGCAGCGCTGGGGATATCAACTGCATGCCTATGCTCTTGATAACATTGCGTTCAGAAATTGCGAAACGCAGAAGCATTTGAGATGATTACAAACTGAGTGTTTAAAGCTGTCTGCCAAATTGTAGCTGCAATCAGACAACAAATTCTAGTTGCATTGAGGCAACAGCATATTCTATCGTCTCACGCAGCAGCTTATCGACAAAATTCCAAACTTATCTTATTGTTTTTGCCTTGGTCCGTATCTTAACTGCTCGTCCGCTCACCTGGTGCTGATTGCGGCTCGCCATGTCATCCTTGACATGGCAGGGGGGGGGGTGCTAGAGAATTCAGTGGGTAAGACTGAGGATTTGGATGGGAAAGTGCGGACTTTTTTTCAGACTCGAGTCTTCCGAAATGCCGGGGGCGCAGGAGTTCCACGTCCTGTCCGAGAGAGGGCGCCTTCCCCTTGCTCTCCGGGTGTGTGCTGAAGGGTACCCGTTTCAGGTCGCTGAAAAACAGGACACCAGAAGCAGCGCCACCATTTTGGGGGCCCCAAAAGTATTCTCACCGATACCTTTTTTTCCGGGAAATGAAGGATCAGTCAGAGTCTCAGAGTGGAGCATCCGAGCTCGTAGGGCCCCTGGGTACAAAGATCCTTTCCCCCAATGGGCTTCCGAGAAGAAAACAAGTGCTCTGCCACAGGTGGGCTCTGGTCGATCAAGGTTCCACCTTTTCGGGAATTCGAAAACTTTCGGGGGGATAGAAGTCAATGGATTGCCCCAAATCAAAAAATGATCATTTTTTCTGGTGGCTTTGATTTTACAATCGCCACTCTTTGGAGGTTCCACAAAGGAAAATGGACGATTCCCTGGGGGAACACCAGCCAGAAAATTCATCGTGCCTCGTGACCGTTTTGGCCAATGCCCGGAACGTTTTGGGCCCAAGGGGGCCTTGGTTTCCTGGTTGCCAAGCCCGTGATTGAGCAGCGTTCTAAGCACCAGTGCTTCAACTGACTCCTTTGGTTTCCCCAAAAAAGGGGTCCCAAGGTCTTGGAACAAGTTGCGCACCGCGGCCTTGAGGTCAGACACGAGGTCTGCCAATTTCAGGTTCTTCGTCTCAGTGATGCTCACCAACACCCGCATTGCCTGTGAGTCAGCCGCTTTTCGGCGGGGTTGCCCTGGAGCTTTCTTCGCCACTTCAGCCAACTGCAAGTGCCAGAGGTCCAAGTGTGGTTCCTCTTCGAAACACACCGCAAAAGCCAGCCGGCCCGAAATTGGCCACTCTCTTGGTGCCGGAACAAACCACCGAACCCACCCTTCGCAGACAAAATGCAAACATGAGTTACAATCAAAACCCGGTCTTCAAAAACGATCTACCCACGATGTAAAGGATGAAGAAGGCGGATCTCCGAAACCAGTTCTGCTTCGGATCGCCCCTTAACCTTCATCCCGATTCGAATCGCACGCGGCTCCCATGAGAACGGCCTCATGGAACCCGACTCTTCGAAGCCCATGGCTCGCTGGAGTTTCTCCGGTGGATGGCTCCGTCTTTGGTTTTTCTTTTTTCCAGGGGTAGGCCCTTTTTTGGAGGGTTTTGAAGGGAGACCAAGGGGAAAACCAAGAATCTTGGATGTGTATATATATATATATGTATGTGTATATATATATATACACGTTTCAGGAACATCTTTTGACCATGGCACATATGGCTTTAAAGTTGGCATGGTTGGAACGCCCAGCAACAGTTGTTGCTGGTGCTCTAACCCCCACGGAAATGATGCTCACCAAAGGGCCCCCGATGCTCTCTGGTGCTCCCCTAGTGCTGCCCCCCCCCCAAAAAAAAAAAACGCCAAACGATGTTCCGCTGTCGAAGCCTAAAGCCCGTTCTTGAGGCGCGGTTTGCAGCGTGGTTCTGTTCAATTGCGCCGAAGTCTGAAAGCCAATGCTACGAGCACTCGTCTGCCTTCCTCGCGCAGTCAACGGCCAGATGGGAACTTCGTGCAACCCAAAAGCAGGTGGCGGAACCCAACTCGAGCGCCAAAAATGGAGGGATTCGCGGCACTCCTGATTTGTTCGCGAATCAGGTGCATTGGGCATTTCAGCGCTTGTTGCGAGAAAAGCACCGCTTTTTGTTCCTCTCCACCAACTCGAGGCAATGCATCAGAGCCGCCAGTGAGTGGCCGCCTAAAAGCAAAGCTTCGGAAAGCTGAAAAGACATCGAGCACAAGAATTTGGTACTTCTCAAAATGAAAATCTCCTTTTTTGGACCTGGGCCGCCCCCCCCCCCCCCCCCCGGCCCCAATTTTTGTCAGGATGGAGACTCTAGGTACAGTTGCAACTCTTGCGAAAGCTCTCAACTCAAAGCGCTTCGATGAGGGCTGAATCAACATGCGCACATGATACCTTGTCCTACTTGCGTTGCCTCTTGACTGCCAGCAGAACCTTTCTTGCCTGGCCCTTTTTTGATCTTTCCAAACGCTGTTCCACTCATGGGGAAAAAAACAACCTTTCATTCTCAAAGTCAGCCGCGTGCCACCCCCGGTTTCTGACTTTTGTTAGCCGCCCCAAGAAGGTTCTCGAACTAATCTGACCCCTGCAAAAGGTTGGTTGGAGTTCCAGGCGGAGTTCGGAGCCACAGGCGGAGAAAAAAAAAAAAAAAAAACATGAACCGCGCGGTGGCGCCGAGATCTCGGCGGGGTCCGGCCAGTACCGGTAGCAGGAGGTCAGGCCGCGCCTGGAGCTTCCCAACGCAAAAAGAGCAACACACGCCCCATGGGGTGTGTTTGAGGGTACCCTAGGTGTCCTTTTTCACATAGCGCCATGGATGCTCAGCCGAGTTGAAAAGAGGATCCATGGAAATCAAAGGCAAACCATCCATTTTGGGGCTGCATGGTGTTGCTCTCATGTGAAAAGCCGTTTTTTCGGTGCCAGGAGAAGGGGGTTTTGAGGGTTGTTGAAACCCCAACTGACCGGGAAACTAATCCACAATGTAAGCCCAAGGGAGCACAAGGATCAATGTCCTACCTGGGACCCCCAAAACTAGCTCGCGTCCTTTTGAATCCCCCAGAAGGAGGCCCATTTCAGCACACACCCCAGAAAAATATAGAATCCCGATGCGTGGCTTCCGTTTGGCGTCCCTTTGAAACAACCCCAAAAAGAGGGACCCCATGTTTCTCTCTGGCGCCTCACAGAGCGGAGTGAGAGATTTGGCCATTGCCGCGTGACTCCCCACAACAAATTCCTCTAGCTCTGATAGCACCTCCCCCAACAAGCAGCACATGCAACCCCTGATTGGCTTCCCATACAAACAAAGGAAGGACGTGACATGGGAACCAAATGCCGATGACCAGCCAACCGCAGTCAAATTCGCTGCCTCTCAACGAGGATGCCTGGGTTCCCCTCGATTTACAAAGGCTTTCCTCCAAAACAAACGGGCGCCCAGCTCCGGGGAAGAAAAGAAGACGCAAAAAACAGGGCTCCTTTCTCTATCAGCTTGGACTGAGCTATTCCTTTGGCTCCCCTGCCCCAACCCGTTTCAGGTGCAGCGAAGCATAAAGCAATCAATCCCCCAAAGGTCCGACCGGACCCTCCCTGACTCCCAGCCACCGCAAGCGTGGCAACACAAAATGCGACGCAAAAACGTCGATGTCTGCTTTGAGTTTGACGAGAGAATGTCATCAAAATGGTTGGACATAAATCTTAATATATTTCTGTCTGCCAAAGGCATTCTGAACAACGAAGGCAAAGGGTGTCTCTAAGCTGAAAGTTCACCAGCCTGGAAAAAGTGTCACCCACTCCAAGAAACGAAACCCGCCAGCTCCGCGATTGTTTGAAGGGAAGCCGAAAGGAACACCAGCAGCTTGCAGGCCGAGATAGCGGCCAGAAAGGGGATGGAAGAGGCCGCAGTGAATAGAGGCTCTTGGACAGGAGATGAGTTAGACTCTCATTGTGGGCCCCAAGTTCCATTTGGACAGACATAGGCCCTGGCCGATGATAGCTGCCCGGCTGGTGCTCGGAGCCGTCCTAAGCGAGCGCCGATATTTTCGCCCATGGCCATGGACGGTGCCATGGTTGAAGCTGGGACGCGTTGGGTTCTTTGGGCTAGCCCACTTTTGCGGAGGGAAACCAAATGGACACCTACGGGTCTCACAAACGGTAGCCTATTCAGCAAGGAGATATTTAAACCAGGCCTTGCACATGGCGTTGGTTGATACACCATCAATTATAGGTGTTGAGACCATGGCAAATACCCACTTGAGCCATGGTCATATCCAGCCCATTTCTCCAGTGACTTTGGAGGCAAGTTGGTGTGTGTTTATGTGCGTGTCCCATGCTATCCCCTGACAGTAGGTGAAGGTGAATGTGGACCGTTTCTCACATTGAAACGGAACACGGCCTTGCAAAGAAGTAGTAAGGGATCAACTGTTTGACCTACACCCGATCCCCCACATGGTCCAAACACTTCCCAGCCCTTCGCATGTTTCTTTTCAGCCGCTACCAAGAATGAGCAGAACCAAAACGGGCGCGGGCTAAAACATGCGCAAAGAGCACCAAGATGAAGAAGGACTGAGACACATGCAGAGCAGTGAAGCAAATCAAGGGAGAGCCCAACAGACCAAGGCAATGATGTGTGCAGTTGACAAAAGCACGAAATAAAGCATAGCTTCGCGGCACGGTTACTCACTGTTGAGAAATCCGAAAAGCTCGCCCAGAATATAACAACGACAAGTTTGCAGCATTCGCAGCACGGTCTTCAACTGTCCAAACACGCCCCTGTTAAGGGTAAACAACATTTGGCGTCACCTGAGGGAGAACTGCAAAGCCACGAATGTCTTCCAAGCAGCATAGATGAGCGCAGTCTTGGGAATAAGCGCCCCGTCCTCACCTCGTGGGAACAAGCGGAAGAGGCGAGTTAGCACAGCAAAGGAATGCGTTATAGCATGCCCACAGCCGTTGTCCTTTTGGCAAAATAGATGGATGCCCCTGGTAAATGGGGCATAAAACCAACCTGAACCAGTGGAACCCGTCTATTTCTAACCAACCCAACCGATCAAAAGCACACCTATGCCGCCTATGCCGCCTATGCCAGCGCCAAACCCATTCCAATGGGACTGTGGGCTCGCCAGAACGGAGCCGAGGCCAGCGCCCTGCGTCATCTCGATGCCCTCCTTCTCGGCAGGGTCCAGCCACCTTCCCGACGTGGCTCGGAGATGGAACATCCAAACCAACAACAGCTTCGTGGGTGTCGAGGTGGCCAACTCCACAACCGGAGAGCCAAGAAAACAAATCGGACCAGGTGCAGCGTGCCCTATGGATCAGGCCAAGAAAGGCCTTTCTGGTTTGCGACGCCATCTGCGTCATAATCCGGGCTCAAAGGAATCTAACCGAAGAAAACCGTTTTCTGAGCAGTCGCCCTGGCAGGCGGTTGGGAATGCCCCTCTACCTACCACCACTTACCCTGCTTTTGCAAATCCCTAAACTCGCAAGGCGTTGTTTCTTCGCCTGATGTAAAAATAAATCGCCAATGTGCAAATCAACCACTAAGCAGAGCCAGACAGACCCGACCGTTGATGCCGCAACACCCAGTGAGTGCGCCCGCCAAGACGGGGCGGTTCGCAAAATAGGGGACGCCTTTGTGGATTGTTCTTCAAGGGAAACCAAAAGAGAGCACCTACCTGGAGGGGTCCCCACTGTTGAGAAACACCCTAAGGAATGCACCGCCTTTTGAATCTTGAAGAGAAATCAAAAGGAACCCAACTTGGTTTAGCCCCCCTGAATGCGGGGGGAGGGGGGCGGGGGGGAAGCACCATGCGGACACAGGCCAAGAAATCTGGTGTTTCCCAGGATCTCGTGGGCATTCAATACCGATGGACCAAAATCCGCTTCGCACCCGTCTGAATGAAATCCTATGACTCCATGACTATTGTTTGATGAGCCTGTTGCAAAAAATATTGTCCATGAGCACTCGAAGCTCAAGCTGATCCATTCAAACCAACCGAAGTCCCCCGATGCCACGAGCTTGAAAATGCCCCCGACCCCCGACGCACGTGTTCCGAAATGTGAGATTCCGGGGGTTGATCAAAAGGTTTTTGTGGGATGAGCAGTGGGGAAACCAATACAAAAGAGGACACTCAAACCACATGGGATTTCATCGCCCATGGGTTTGAGGGCCGAAGGGGAAGATTGATCAACCCCCAGACACCTCAGCTTCCATCTGCCTCAAATCTCTCCATGACCCTTTAAAAATATTTAAGCATGGTTGGTCATTACCCCCAAAACTCAGGGGCCATGGTCATCCCCTGTCTCCAGGGCTGGAGACTCCAGCGGTGCTACGTTCCACCGGGCTTTCCGCTTCCCGCCTGTTGGCCCACAGGTCCAAAAGCCGCACCGGCTTCGGCAGCGGGGGATCCGCGGAGTCCTGGCGGAAGAAAAAAAAAGAGCCGCGGCGCTTTTTCGCGGGGTTGGCTGTGGTTGTCCAAAGCCTCAAAACCCATCTGGTGAACGTCAAAATGGGTGGAAATCAAATGGAGGCTCATCCACCCCAAAAACTTCTGGTGAACATCAAAATGGAAATCAAATGGATGTTCCACCCCAAAATGGGATCGCCATAGGTGATGCCCCATGGCCATATGAAGCACCCTCCTTTGGGTGGAAACCCGGGAAAAATGCAAAGGGGCTGCATGTCAATGGGGGGGAACTTGAAATTGCCAACTGCACTCAACTCAAGTTGAGGTTCGAACTGGATCCCTGTCAGCAACCGAGCTCTCAGAAGAAGACTAGAACCAAACTGAAAGCAGAGGAACAGATTCACGTTCAACCAAACTGACCCAAAAGGACACCCTACGGTGGTAAGCATGTGACGTCTCTGAAACGCAAAAAGCAGATCCTCCTCGGGTGACAGCACGATATCGTCAATGCGAAGCATCGTCACATACTGCCTGCGCCGAAAAACGAGGCGTTGCCCTTCCCTTTCAAAGGGAGTCCAATCGCAAATCCCGAGACTCTCTACCCGACCTGACCATGCCCAAAGAAGGCCCAGGTGAAAAGACAAAGTTCGTCAAATACAATCGGTGAGCATGAGGATGCATACGTGCGTGTTTCTCTAGGCTCGCGTCCCAGAATTGGCCCATCCCCACACCTCTCTCTTGAAAACCGGAATAGCGAAGCCCGAAGCTGTCCAATGGACTTGAATTTGAATTAGGGACCCTTTGGACGTCATTTCGGTGGGAATGGATCCCTGTCCACCACTTTGGAGGGGGTGGCCTATTAAAATTCACAGCCAAATGCGTCCGTCGGAACCCTACAGATTTGCTGATCCCAGGTTAGATTCGGCGGTCTTTGACAGACCTCATGCCGAAAGACCAAGCAAGCTTCTGCATTTGAAAGCCTCGGATCGACACCTGCTGCTTAGGGCGGAAATGGTTTTTGGAAGGATAAATGGATCTGTCTCTGTTGAGGGTATCCTTTCTTGGGGTTGGTTTAACGGAAAACCAACAGGACATCACACTCTCTTCTTTATTTTTTTGTTTGGGGGGGTCCCTAAAAGACACACCCAAAGGAATTTCAATAAGTCTCAAAACGCCGAGGACTCAAAAACCATGGGCCCTGGGGCTGTCTGCAACTAGCCTTCAGTTGTGATTTCGATTTTGGCACAAATGCACCGGTTGATCTCCGAATTCAGGGAATCCCGCAAGTGGTTGTCCATTGATTCTCCCAAAAGGAACCAAACTGCTGAAGTCAGGTCAAACGACACAGCAACCCCTCGTTTTTTGGCGCGAACCGCCCTCCGCCAGGTTGGCCGTTACCCTCCCACATGCACACATGGGGGTGGGGGGTCCAGAAAATGTCCAGTTTCTAGTCTCCACGAAAGAGCAAAAGGGAAAATGACCTTTTTGGAATTCCATGGGTCACCCCCTCCCCCCAACTCCATTTCTTGGGCACGGGGATCCTCGCGCCCACATGGTCATGGAACACAGCTGGAGTGTGGAAGGCCGTTTTGCTCCAAAAGGGACTGTCTGGTGGGTTCCATGTTCATCGGGAGGGTATCAATTCTCACCACAGTCAGTTGAGCCAATGCTCGTCTGTTGGTGTCCCACAAGAAGAAACATGTCAACGATCTAAACATGCCGCCGACAATGCCGTCATCTTGCGAGGTCATTCCCTTCCCGTTCGTGTTGGACGTCTTTCAAAAGGGCTCCAAACGACATACCAAGGGGATTCCCTGGATGGCAACTCAGTCAAACATTTTTGGTGTCCTCTTAGGTCAGGTCAGTGCATAGATTAGTTCCTCTGGTTTCAGTTTGCTTCAAATCGTTCAGCAGTTCCACAAGCTCCTCCAGTGGAGAGGTTAAAATAAGGGTGCCGACTCTTTTTTTCTGTAGTCTCTTTTAGTAGGGGAACCCTCCCCCCAAAAAGAACCGGTAAAAGTTGGCACCAATTGCTGGCAGACCTAGTCCAAGAGGTCTGGCCCAAACCCCTTGCTCTCCCAAAGCCGCGCCGGCGCCGATAGAAGTGCGACTGCTTCCGCCGCGGCTTGTACCTGGACGACTCCCAGAGCCGGGCACACCCCCCGCCCAAGAGGAAAGTAGCCTCATTCTTTTGCCATGATCAAAGTCACCCCGTAAGTGGTGGGTTAAAAAGAAACAACCGCCATTTTCGGACGTTGATGACCCCCCAGCAACCGGAAAAATAGTGGCCTCAGAGGAAAGTAGCCTTCCTACAGGGGTCTGTGCACTTCCGTGTTCGTCAGTGGGAGGGTAAATCCGGGCAAATTACTATCGTTCACAAAATTGAACAAGGAATCTCTCGGGAACCATCATGGGCGAGGTTGAAACTGCCAAGTTGCGAGGTCGCTATAACTTGCCCAGATTCGACTGCTTATATTGCATCATTGATGTGTTGTTCTTCGGTATAGGCGCCAGCAGCTGTCCGCTGCAATCTTTATCGCGCTTGGAGCCTTTGGCGGCTGTCACTTGCATGGGGGTTTGGCGCAACTAGACTCCTAGGAACAAATCGTTTAGTGGTGAAAGAAACTATCTATAATGTTGAACCCGGATTAAGTCTGGATGAAGCGAGAAGGGTGTCGTTCAGAATTCCGAAACAGGACACTCCGCTATCAAATCAACTGAGTCCTGGGCATTGGCTGGTACATCAGCTTCCCTCTTGGTGGGTTGGATCCGCGAAAGTGGGTTTAAATCTCCAAACCGCGAATCCGGGACACCTGATTACAGTAAAAATCCGACATTGGAAACACCAAGCTGTCAAGAGAACAAGGCGACAATTTCGAATTTGGCTAGGTGTTCCGGATACCACCACCAGCACCACATTGTGTATGATTACGAACATCACGGAGAATCAATGCCTCGGTGAACGTGCTCGGCAGGGGGCCAAAAAAAACACTACTATTTTTGCACAAACAATCCCACCAAACAGCGAAAACAGTTCTTACAAAACGTCAGAAAGTCGACATTTGGATGTGACGTTTTTTAAGGGCCCCAAAAATGCTTGGTTTCCGTTTGGTTGCCCTTTAAAACCAAATGCGGGGTACCCTCAAGAAGAGACAGACCCAAAGTCAAATAGGGAAATTGCAAGGACCCCTTCAGAAGTCCGAGGCTGATCTGGGGCACCAGAAGACCAGGGACTCCCTGGTCAGGGTCTGCTGCCTGCGGAAAGGCAAGTTGATCCCATAGTGGATGGGCAAAATGATGCACCAGTTGGGATGGATGAATCCCTGTGACCGGAATAACCCACCTACCAACTTACCAACTGCCGGACCTTTGCGAACAAAACAGGTATGTCATCTCAGCCCCCGGTCAACATGTTAAGGTAGGATCTCGCGCGTGGTAAAGGCAAGCGGGAAGCCAAACTCATTTGTTTTATCCTTGTGTTGTCATGGTCTATCAGACTCGGAGTGTCCCAAAGAATCGAGGGACGTCGAAAGTGAGCGAGGGCTGAGCACGGACGCTAAGGCCGGGTCTCGATGGTGGCATGCACCTTTGCATATGGCCTGAGTCCCGCAATTCAAGCCAAGGCTGAACATATCAAGCATCCAATATTTGAGTGTGGGCCAACATTGTTCGTACTTTCCCAAGAGGACGACAATTGGGAGGGGCCCCAGGCTTTCTGCGGGAAGCTTGGGTTCCAAAATCCTCCCAAACCAACATGCTGTCAGCTCATTGACCCAAACCACGCAAACCAAGACAACAGCTCACTGGCTCTTGGCCCATCCTCCCTGGTTGGGTGTTTCAGCTCAACCGGCGACAATCCTACGGCCAGACTCAGCCCGCCGCACCGTCGGCTTGCCCAAGATGGTGAACTCCTCCAGGACACCGACGAAGACATTCCCGGCATGAGGGGTCTGGATCTGGGGGGGTCGGTCGGTTTGTTGGAGGGAAACCACACAACTTTGAGGGGCCCCCCGAACAAAAGACACACCCGTGTGGGCCCACCTTTTGAGGAGTAACTTCCCCCTTCTTTCCAGGAAGCCTTTCCCACACCGCCGAAATCCCAAGGACCTTGGGGCTGGTTGGAAGGAATGACGGTTGGAAGGAATGGGCCAATCATTACCTGGACCGCGACACATCACACCACAAAAGAGAAGCTCGATTAAGCTTGGCAACCGAAAGTTCAAACATCCGAAGAGGGAAGCATACGCACCCCTGCAACAAGGGCTTGGCCACGGTTGAGTTCAGCTTGCTCACGAACTACGGCTTCTGGGCGAAATGAGCAGGATCCAAACTGAGCGCGTCACGGTTGTGACTTTGAAAGTTGATTCTCATGCTGATAAACTCCTTGATCACAGTTGTCTCCAAATGAGACTCATCCTCAAAAGGTGGTCTTCTTTGGCTTCCCCTATAAAGCCCCTCTAACAACGGGTACCCTCCAGAAGACCACCCCACAGTCCACCAATTTCCATTTGGCTTCAAACTCGGTCCTGTGGCTTGGGCCAAAACTGGAGCCCTGGAGCCCGGCGCGCCAAGATGGAACCGGAAGCCGTGTGAGTGATCCCCATGCCTTCGGAACATTCGGAACCCAAAGGCCCCCACCATTTCTCACCCCCCCCAAAAAAAAAACACAAATTTCCCAAGCAAACATGCACCCCCAGAAAATGCCCCAGGCAAAAATGTGAGAATATGTGCTCATGATCTGGTGGTGTCAAACGCCCCCCCCCCCCGCCGACTTGCCACTCGCGCTCGGCTTTCCTTGGAGCCCGCCAGCAGCACCGTGCCAAAGACCACCTGCACGTGAGCGAGCCATAGCAAGGTGAAGCAACTGGTGCGGTGTGGCGGGTGTCCTATGGCTGTGTTCCTCAAAAGCAAACACCTTGGGGTCTGAAGGGATGGGAGCCTTCCACGGCGCCCATTCGCAACTCATGGCTTTCCCCCCAGCTGAAAGCGACTCAGGGTCTCAGCCCATGCTCCGGCTCTGACGTTAGCTTCCGCAGGGTGCAAGGCGAGGAAAATCCGCGAGGGGTCCGCCTGAAGAAGCCGTGCCGGGTGGTGCTGGGGATATTACCTGAGCTTAGTTACTTCCGATGTTGCATCGATTTGGATGTTCGGCGCCTTCTCTCCTGCTTGTCTTCGATGCAGCTTCTCAGCCTGCACAATGTCTCCAACCTGAATGGCAGTGACTTTCAAGCTGCTACGAACTTCTCGAACAGGGGACCAAGAGCAAGTTTCTGTGGGAAATGGATTGTGTCTCCCCCATATTTCCCCAAACTGGATATGTTCACCGAATCCCGAATGTCTACCTCAGCTTTTGCCACCTGCCCCCAAAATTTCGTAAGATCTCGCGAAAGGTATTTTTTGGGGGATCCAGGATGGTCAGTATTCTGCAACGGAAAAAAATAAATAAAATAAAACAGTTTGCAACCAAGACCGTTGCTCCAAAACGTTTTTCGAACGTCTCAAAAAACCGGACGTCCAGTCGCAGAGCTCGCGGCATGGACCTTGTGCTGGTGGAAGACGCTGCCTCGGGGGGGGGAAAAAACGGGCTGGCCGACCAAAAGGGGGCAGCAGCAAAGGGGTGGACAAAAACGGATAAGCCAAAAGGGGTGGACCAAAAGGGTTGGGTGAACCAACACTGGTGGACAGAAATAGATAGACGCCTGGAAACCTTGTGCTTTCGATAGGCACAAACTTGTCAGCGGCTATCTCGGGCACACAACCACATACGCGTCCTTTGTTGGCTGCTACCCCTTTCTTGGTTGCTTCTTATTCTTGAACCAAAGTGAAACCACCCCAGAGCTTCCCAAAGACACATGGCTGTGGGTCAAAACCAATGGTACAATTTTGGGGTGGGTGCACCAGCCATTTTAGTCTATTTTAGTGGGGATTGGGATGTTCCCTGGGGGTACGATTTGGGCACATTTCCATCCGAGACGCTCTTGAACACGCAGAAGAGCTCCTGCTTCTTTATCCTGCGGCAAACCCCAAAACCAAGCTCACTTCTTTCGGCCGGGTTTGAGTAGTGATCTGCACTACTCAAACACCAAACGTGAGCCACTCCCTCTTCCAAACGAGGCTTGTGCATTGGTGAGAGGATAGATGGCTATGCGTCAAAATAGGGAGTTCCCCCCCACCCCCATTTTCTGGGGTGGTTTCCCTTTGGGTTTCCATTGGCTTAACCCAAAAAGGGCACTGTAGACCCAGCACCCTCACAAGAAGCAAGCACTTGTCCACCATCCGCCGCCTTGCGAAGTGCTCCACCTCAGGCAGCTCTGCCTGAGGCGTCCTGCGAACAGGCGACGTCGAAAAGCGCCCACCTCGAAACGTGGCGCGAGCACCGATTCGCCGTGGCTCACTAAAATGTACCAAAATGGGACCTTGGTAAATGGAACCAAAGACTAAAACCTGCGTAACACTAGCTTTTCAATTTTGAGCCACAGCCAGTTGAAGTTGAAACCATACCCCACTTTCACTAACATGGCACCTGACAAAGGGTCCCTTGAAAAGGAAATTGATCTTCCAGGTACCCTCCCACAGATGCTATGTGGGAGGAAAGGTAGCCGAAATCGATGGTCGTGACATGGTGATTTTGACACCAAAGATTCTTGGATTGGATTTTGGTTTAGATGGGCTCCTTGGGACGAAGTAGGAATCGCCACGGCCACTTGGCTTCCCTTCGTCAGCCCAAAAACATACAACGCAACCATGTGCTGGGAAGCCGGGGGATCCATGAGGTCCTGCTCAATCAACAAGCAAGGGTATATCATTTCGGAACGGAATCGCATTTGGGGGAAACACCCCATCTGGCAATCCATCATGGTGATCAGGTGATCTTTCATCCCGGATCGTCCGCTCGTTTCTCTGGGCACGAACTCAGCGTCCGCGCGTCCTGTGCGGCATATCTTTGTGCCACACAAAAGCGCAGGTCGGCTTGTTGCCTCAGCCAAAGGCCCGGCGCAGGTTTGGGTGATCGGTTTCCATCCCCTCGTGGGAATTGGACCTGAAAGCAGGGGGTCAAATCCAGTTCCCCATGCAGGGGAGTGGGCCTTGGCCTTGGGGTCTCCCAATACACCCGCAGATTTTGAAGGATTTCCAACAGACCCAACATGCCGTCCTTGTATGTCGAAATGAGTCCGCTGGCAGCCACCAATCTGGCCTCCTCAAGTGAGCCTGACGCCCCAACTCTGCCAAGAGAAGGCAAAAACCAGCCCTGGAAGTTGGAATTGCCCCTTGTGTCTCCATGTCATCCATGCCGTTGACACGGCTCTTCTCCAAAACCGTATTCAACCAGTTTCTGTTTGACGCGTTTTCGTACAGCCGAAAACTCCGGGCCTTTCCCGTCGCCAAGCGACGCGGGAATTCCGTCCGCTGCGGCTTCCAATGACGAGCCACCTGCCAGTGGCCGGTTGCCAGTCGCAGGAAATCGAGGAGCCATTATTGAATAAAGTGGGTGGGTGTGGGTCATTAGATCCAGAGGGTTCCTTTTTTGGGTAAGCCCCCTTTGTTGGGTCCTCGTTCCAAGGACATCTGGGGGGTCCCCGTCCAGCTTCAAGAACCATGCGTCTAAATTCCCAGTTCCCACCAACTCAGCAATGAAGTGTCACATGATGTGGGGTCAAACAAGTTGGCCTTGGGCTACGCCTTTTGAAGGGAATCTTACATGGACACCCACACATTTTGGACACACACACTTTCCAACAGACTTCTGACAAAAGTCCGTCCCCCTTTTGATGCTCAAAAGGCAACCTTTCTAAGGTGAAGGCTTCATTCACCTCCCGCCAGGTTTACCTGGCTCTGAGTCCCTTCAAATGAGGGAGAGATGTCCCAGACTTTCATTCTGAAGACTTGCCCATGGCCCCTAGACCAATCATGCCGGAAAAAACCCGTACATCCCTTCAAACCCCAGTTCCCTGGCCAACCAGCTCAAACTGCGATCGTTCTCTTCGGAGATCCCCCGTTCCGTTCCCCGCGCGCCGTCATGCGGCTGGTGGAGAATCGGGTTGTCCACTGCCAACGCAGCTTCAGGTCGCCTCACATTCTGCACTGGGTAATTCGGGAGGTGTTTCATTTGTCCTACTCATGCTTGTGGTTGCAAGGACCAGTGTACATTGTGGCGGTTCAAAGCGAACCCCATCAAAGCTCCGCCAAAACCTTCGTCGCTGAGCCGTCGGCCATAGGTGACAACCTCGTTCATGTTCGTCTCGATGTCCTGCAGAGGATGCTTCGGGAACTTCGGCGGCATATACCTGCGGAGAAAGCTTGGGCGGAAGATCACTAGGTACTGGAGGAGAAGACAGGTCCCCTGAACACTCAAAGGAACCTGACATGGACTCCGGTCAGGAACCCAAGACCTGCTGGTCCTGTCTAAAGATTCTGACATCCATATCGAGTTACTCTCCTTTTGGTGGACATCTCAGGTTGGCGTGCCACTAAAAACCGGCCCGGGGATGGCACGAGGGTCTCTTCCGCGACCTGAGCAAGGCTTGATGCGCGGATCTGGCGAGGGAGACAGGCTCGCAATGGGTATCTGCCAAAAGAAAAATGGCCATGGGTCAAAAGCCCGTACCCCCGGTGGGCATCCCAAGCTGGGAATCGCTCCACGGTGTCATCTTCAGGTTCGTGAGTCACAGCGACAGATGCAGCCTCCCCGCAAATGACCTGTTCCCTGGATTCTTGTCCTTTTTGGTACAAGTGCATATAGTGTCACACACCCAACATGAGGAAATCGTATCCCGTTCGAAACCGTCCAACCAGAAGGGAAGTGTCCAACTGACAGGTCCAGAGTCCACGGCCCCTGGATGACCTCCATCTTGTGCCCCATGATGTGACCTCTGCGACGCACAACAAATTGGACCGTTGCGCTGATGGCAAACAAGGAGTTTGCCCAAAACCCGTGGCAAAGATATCCCCCCCTCGAAGGTTCTTCCTTTTTTTGTGGAGGGCGGGGAAGTAGGTAACCCCGTGGCAAAGATATCTTACGGCATATTTGCAGGGCAAGATTCTGGCTCCCAATGGCACACACACACACAAAGACGCACTCACGCGCAATTCGTTCGATGGTTTTAGTTGGACTCTTGGCTTATGGCAAGCGCAACGGCCCGGCCTTGTGCCTTCACCGGGTGCCGGATGAACCCACGTACCTCAGCTCAGAGTTCCGATCGCCCCGTCGTCGGGTGTCTTTGAGGCGACCGATGCGTTGGGGCCGTTGGGGCCGTTGGGGCCGTTGGGGCCGTTGGGGCCGTTGGGGCCGTTGGGGCCGTTGGGGCAAGGGAAAAACGAAGGGGACACACCCCATTTTGTTGGTGACAGAGGGTGATTTGTCCGTTTCCATCATTTTAGTAAAGGGGCAAGGAGGTCTCGAATGTTAAAGATAGGCCCAGACATGGGCGTACGTCGTTTTCGAGGCTCGGCACCTTCTTGGGGTTGGTTTTAAACAACACCAAAAGGGGGAAGCAATCTGTTGGTTGTCCATGCTCAGGCACACCCAGCTCCACATATAAGAGAGTGGCCAAAATGGTGACCCCCCTAATGCGGCAAAACATGAACTCAATCCACAACACACGCAAACCTCACACTTCCCGTCCACAACCAGCGTGGACCAAGCAACATCCACTCGCTGAGAACCAAGCTAGGCATAGGGCTTGAGACGTCTCTTCGCTTGGGTTGCAAAGGAAACCTTCCGGTCCCTGAGACGCTTGCTGCTCCCTCCTCTTCGGAGCCCCAAAAACGGGGTTCGGCATGCCATGGGTCCACATCAGTAATGTTGACCCCGGGTTAAGCAGAACCCCTGTTTATTAATATGGGGGTGTTCCCCTCCAAATGTGATGAATCCCCACTAAAACCGGGGACACCCCCATATTAATAAACAGGGGTTTATTAATCCGGGGTCAACATTACCAGACTTCTGCCACGCTCGTTGGACATCCCAAACGGAGTCGAACTCTTGGGCGAGCCGCCCCGGGAGCCGGCTGCCAGCTCGGCAGTTCTCGGCCTGAGGACTGAACATGCTGGCGAAGCCCCCCGCTCAAAACGCCCCTTTTTGGGGACACCTAGTTGACTAGGCCCTCCAGTAGAGAGGTTAGAATAAGGGTGCCCTTTTTCCTGTAGTCTATTTTGGTAGGGGAACCCTCCTCCAAAAAAGGGTAAAAGGGCACTACTGGGGACCCCTAGTTGAAGAAACACCCCTATGTGTTCGAGTCGCCAGCTGCGGTCATCTATTCGGCGACCAACCCATAGTCTGTCTAAGCGGGGATCCCTTTTGGGTGGTTTTGAGCATGGATGGTGTCACAACCAAAAAGGAAAACAACCGCCTGGAAGGGTCGAGTTCTCATTTTGAAAAGATCCCCACATTGCGTTCGTGCCCTATCCTGTGCGGGATTTACCTGCAGTATGTTCAAAGGAATTCGAAGTTGACGGGCTCGTCAATACTCAGCAATAGGACTTGGCCCCGGGCCTTCTAAGACCCTGTCAGTTGTTGGCTGCCAATGTTCTTTTTTGAAAGCCTTACAAACGAATCAACATGTTCTGAGGTGACAAGGCTCACTATCCGCAACCACTCGCGAACTTCCAGCATGAATCTGGCGAATGCGGACCTTTGGCCAATCGCTTTCGCGGCGCCGCGCTTTGACATAAATCCAAACCATCCACTCCCAGCTGGAGGCTCCAAAGCCACCGTTTAAACCCTGCAACGGGTTTGGCGGCGGGGGGGGGGGGGGATGCACCGCCCTTCCCCGGTGGAGGTGTTGTTTATGTTTTTTCTTCGAGGGCTGCGCTGGTTTTCTTCGGGCTGGTGTAACATCCCCAGTACCTGGACCAGGTTGGACTGGAGCCTTCTGTGGGTATGGAGCACCCGAGACATGGCAACCTGTGCTGGGGGCGGGGGATGGATGCGTTGCCCGCATCCCCAGCTCCGGCCTCGCTTGCAGGGTTGCCCACTGGATTTGGTGGCAGTTGCGAGTTGCTCGGGATGGTTTAAAGTGAGTTTTAGGCTGCCTGAGATCTTCATGAGGGATGAGGGCTGAGGGCGGGTCGGGCTCATTTGCGCTCGGCAAAAAGCTGATCTCCAAGCTGCTGCTGGGCGGATTTCCGTTGGGTTCGGGTTGGCTTGGAGCTGAGTTGTTTTGGGGACCAACCCTAGTTTTGTTCTTTAAGACAACAACAACTAACGCAAAACTAAAACACCTCATCCCCCCCCCCACAAAAAAAAGGAAGAAGAAGAAACGCTCGACCCCCCCCCAGAAACCCAGCGCTTTGTCTCAGGTTCCGGCCAAAGGCCACTCCCCGTCCGCGGAGCCTTGGGCAACCGGAAGGCCATGGAACCGTCTCACGCAACCCAACGAAGCCGCTCCCAAGGAATCCGCTGGCGAACGGAAAATTTTGACGCCAGCGGCTCAAGTGGTGGACATGAATCCCAACTGACTTTGTCCACCAAAGGGCCTATTCAAATTCACTGGAAGATTAGTTGGAGACATGCCATTGCAAGCAGCCCCGAACCGTGGGAAGTTACAGGGTAATCCTTGTTGCCCAACATAGAACCCGGCCCTGTTTAGAGGAACCTGGTCTTTGGGAACCCCCACTCAGGCTGAGAAAACTCGCCTATTACTCCGACAGGTTGAAGAATCTGAGGTCGACATGTGTCATTGCACCACGGCCCTTAGAAGGTCGTGTTCTGTGCCACATTTCGGGATTTCGACGTTGTTCGCCCGTCTCTGGCCCCTGGGGGTTCATAACGTGGTCTGGGCCTCAAGCATGTGAGCATCAACCCCAAAGCCAAGTTCGCCCACGCCCACAAACAAAGTGCATCCAAAAGGGCCGTCAGTGCAACTGTGATCATCTGCTTTTCGGCTGCAGCATGATTCTTGAAGTAACATGGGGGTAACGACGTGCACTCGCAAAACCAAGTGCGTGTCTTTTATAGGGGACCGCCAAAATGGTGGTCCTTCTTTTCATATTCCCGTTAAACTCACCAAACAAAGGTCCTCAAAAAAAGCACACCCAAGCTACAGTTTTGGAAGGGAAAGACAGGGTTTCAGGACACGATTTCGGACACATTGTTTTCGCGCCGCTGCAAAGCAAAAGCCTCTGAACCAACAAAGGGACCCCGGGTACCTTTGCTTTCCCTCCAGGGTCGCTGGCCCCCAAATACTAGTATTTGAGCACAAAGACAGAACAATCTCTACTTCAGGTACTCTGTGAAACCAAGGCCATAAAAAGAGGGGTGGTTGAAATGCCGATGGGCGTGCTCTCTTTTTTGAGGGCGAACGGATTAACCCAACGTCCCCATCCTGAGCGACCAGCCATGGCGACACATGACGCGTGCAACACGCCATGGGAGAAATGAATTCGCGATGGCCGGTACTCTTTTTTTCGACTGCCGGGGCATGGCTCTTCAAACTTTGGGAGATGGTGGTCATATCTTTGACAATAGCTCGGACTCAAGGAGTTCACTGCTGGAGAGCCTAAGCCTAGGTTACATAGCTTTGAGCAGACTATGAGCTTGAGCCAGCATTGCACGAGTTTGAGTTGGAGCCGCGTGGCAAAAAGCTGCTAGGGTAGCTGAGTCGGGGCTGCCGGACAAAAAGCAATGTTCTTCCTACAAAAAACCGCTCTATACTGCTGGCCGCACTCCAAAAGAGGCGTTTGATTGCTCAAGCTGATGATATCCGCAACAAACTCACGCTTCCGCAAATTGCATTCCCAGCGTTGCCTACGTTTCCCCCCCCCCCCCCCCCCGTGCATCACCCCGCCAAAAGGACCCTCACTCCAAACTGGCGAACAAGAATCGCAAGAAATGATGTACAAGGTAAAACATGGTCAACAGTCCATGTGTCAAAATAGCGCAACCCCCAACTCCAACATGATTCCCTCTAAACCAACCCGAAAAACGGGGCTCCTTCTAAAACCACACACACACACAAACACAGCGTGTGTCATTCCTGCAGATTGCGCATCGGCTCTTTCAAACTTGCGTGGATCGATCTACTCCAGGCCCGACCTGCGGCCTCGGTGCAAGTCCGACATTCTTGGGGACCCCGGAGATATGGGAAACAGGGAAGTCAAACTCGACCTGGTGCAAACACGAACAGGGATGTGGGATTGCAACCACTTCTTGATACTGCTGGGAAACAACTGCCGTTCTCAACCGACCCTAAGAAATCGCACTTAATCCCACCCCGGTTCATCCAAACACCAGTGCGACTCTGCCTAAGCCAACCCTAGTCCAAGACTGTCCAACTCAAGCCTCGCCCTGACACTGGACCGAACAACCAACCAACCAACCAGCCAACCAACCAACCAACCAACCACCCACCCAACCACCCACCCAACCAACCAACCAACCAAGCCAGCCTGCCTGCCTGACTGCCTGCCTGCCTGCCTGCTTGCCTGTCCCAACCAAAACTATGCGTGCCCCCGTTTTTCGGATGGTTGGGAAAGCAAAGGCAGACCCACCGATTTGGCTTTCAGCCACGGCGCCTAACGCTCGAAGTGTGCCAGCCTGGCACGAATGGAGCGGGAGATTCCTCCATGATTGGTCCCCCGTTGTCTATTCTCTTTGAGACGGAGCGTGTCTCATGAAAGAGGCGACCCTTCACCTTGTTGCTGGTGGGGGGGGAGGGTGGGGGAGCAACCTAGCATGGCAAGTTGATGCATTTAGGGTCAACATTGAAGCACTGGGTGTGGTAGAACAGTCGATCCCATGCTACTCTTGCAGAGGCTGTATCATAGATGACATCAACCCCCCTTGACGCTCCTCCCTTCTCAGATCTTGATATAATCGATCCCTGCAATTTCTGTCTTGAAACTGCCAGCAAAGCTTGAACGGAAAAAAACAAACCCAAATTGAGGGTCGAAGGCCCAACATCCGAATGCGCTCGGGTTTTATAGACATCCTTCCGTTCAAAGTTGCTGAAGGCAGCCAATAGCGCCCAGTAGCTGCAAATAGCTTCTAACAACGATTAAGAAAAGGCCAATGGGCAATACATGACCAAGCTTGCTGCGAAACAGTGGTTTTACACACCTCGCCCCCCTTTCAGCACCTTCAACTGCTAGAACAGAATATGCTTGCTCGGCATGTTGCAAACAAGCGTTCTGCGCCTCAAATGTTTTAACGGGCGGGCAGGGGAGTTACAAACAAGTGGTTGCTTTTCAAGTTACCGCATGTCCCTATTTGCCCAATTTGCCGGGGAGTTGCAAATTAAAGACACTCATTGAAATGGGCGAACATTGACCATTTGAAATCGCCCTTGCAAAATCTTGCAAATCTTGCGTGAATACATGAGACTCAGCGCAAGCTTGCTACTCATGGCGAGCAACGTTCAAATTTGGGGAGCCTCCAATCATTTCAACGTTTGGTTTGCAGCGCATGGGCGGGCAGTGAAGTGATCAAGGAGTGTAGTACGCGGAAGTGTCCTAAGTACACTTTGGCAGCTCCAGCTCAGAGCATTGCAGCTTTTCGTACACTGCGGCACGTTCTCAAGCGCACTTTGGCAACACAAATGATACAAACATACGCTACATCAGTATTTCAAGGTGTCAAGCACTTTAAGCTACACGGATGTGCAAGAATAGACTACTTCGCATCATTCCCTTTTGAAAAGCCGCGGTATTTGCCAGTGGCTTATGGGCTACCCAGCGCAGGTCAGCCCTACCAAAATTTGGACTCAGGACTGCCCCAGCGCCTTTGGGCACGTAGCTCCTCCGCCGAAGGCCCCGCCTGAGCTTTCGGCTCGCCGGCTCAAGGAGGCCGTTTTTGGCGGGTCAACTTGGACTGACTTGTAAAGCGGGGTGTGTCTCACGGTGGCTTCCAAACGGGTCTTGGTGTGTATCAGTTCTGGGTGTGTTTTGTCTCACGTTGGCTTTCTTGGTGTCCCTTCCAAACACTGTCAGAAAAATGGGCCAACCAACCCGGAGCGTTTCGGGAGGGGGCCTTGCTGGACTGGGTTAATCAAGCGGCCTTCGCATGGGTTGTGTTGCCGGACCAAGACACCTTCAAGACACGGGTTCCCCAAGAGCAACTTCCTCTACAACTGAAGCGTTCTCTGGCAGCCCCAGAGATGGGTATCAAAATATTGGGGCCCCAAAAAAACAATAGCGTGCTTCCTTTTCGTTCCCCCTTTCCCAACTTGAACAACGGGAACACCAACCAACCACATTTCTGGCTCAGCCCGCGGCGGCTTCTGCTGCACCTGCCGAGCCTCGTCGCTTAGGTGTGGGCTTTTTGAGGCTCGCCTTTTCGGGTGGGTTGAAACGCCCCGGACAGGCGAGCGAGCGACCCTTCCCAAGTTGCCGGCTCTATGAACCATTCGACATGCCCAAGCAGGGATCCTTACATGAAAAACACCTGAACACTGCCTTGTAAATGGTGGGTTCCCTTTATTTTGGTGGAAAAAGCCATGTTTCAAATGGGCAAAATGTATCTTTTAAGGAGCCCTACCAAGTTGTGGTTGCTCTTTGTTCTCGCCAAACGTCAGCACAAGCCCATCCGCACTCTTGGCTGTGGGGGCTTTTAGCGGCTTCTGCTGCAATTCCTTCTTGCGAGATGTCGGATCGGCTCAAAAGGCTTTTGCAGACTGGCAAAGGCGGGGACGCGTAGCAGGTGTTGTGGCGTATGTTTGAAGGGAAGTCGAACGGCAACCGCTATACACTTGGGCGGGTCGCTGACTCCTTAGACATTGGTCCAGTGACTGGGTGGCTCTTTTTGCTCTGGATCTGCCGGTCCCTTCCTCCCTCCCCTCCCTTCCCCTCCCGCCCTCCCTCCCTGGTGGAGCTGCCTGCCTCCGGCAGCAGCTCCGCCTTGCGGATCCGCAGCAGGCCTGGGGCTTGCCCAGCGCCGGAAAGGGGGAATGCAACTCCCGAACTCGGAGTTCAGCGTTTCCTTGGGGGAAACCAAGTTGGGAAGCAGCTTCTTCTTTCTTTCTTTCTTTCTTTCTTTCTTTCTTTCTTTCTTTCTTTCTTTCTTTCTTTCTTTCTTTCTTTCTTTCTTTCTTTCTTTCTTTCCTCCTTCTTCCTCTTCTTCTTCCTCCTTCTTCCTCTTCTTCCTTCTTCTTCCGCTTCTTCTCTGTTTTTTGGAGGGGCGGGGAGGTCTCCTGTTTTCAGACTCACCCATGTGGCTACGGGTCAAAATTTTACCATGGACCGCAGGCTTTAGCCCTTGTCTCCATTTGCCAGGGTTGCAATTTGGGCACCGATTTTTGACCCACACCCTTAGCGACCTAGAACTGCAAGAATATGGAGGGGTATAAACCCCTGCAACATGTTGGGTTGGTTGTCTGCGGGTGTCCCTGAATTGTCCGCCTCAAATGATTACGAGTTGTCCCATCCGGAGGTTGCTGCCAGTTCATATTCTCTGGGATTAGACCGTTGAGGCCGCAAAGGTCCCTGAGTTTCGCACTTGGGCATGGATCTAGCCTTTCCACCATATTCCAACTCCGACTACTTTGACAACATGCGCAAGCTGAGGCTACTCTGTGCGGGTGAAAGCCCCCCCTTTGTTGGGTGGCTTCAAAAGCGCAGATGCCCAGGCCGATGGGAAACAAGGGCATTCTTTTTTGTTGGTTGAGTTTACAGGAATCGGAACCCTTCCCCGAAAAAGGAGACAAAAGGTCGCCACTGGGCAGACTCGGAGCCCCTTGGTTCATTGGTGGCCTTTACAGAAACCTGGAGTTTTGCGCAGCGCACACGCAGCGGGTTTCACGAACCCAGACGGCTCAAAGGATCTCGTCTTAAATGTGCCCGTTTTTTTGGCCCCTGGTTTAATGGGACTCTGGGTGGTAAGGAGGTCTGGAAACATATTTGACCATCCCCCTAAAAGTTTGACAACACCAAGAACAAAGAGGCACATGAATTTCATATTGGTGCAATGCATACAACTGACGCAGCCAGCTACACGGTGGGTGCCTACCACACCCTACCACAAAACCATAATTTTATCTACAGTCAATTCGTATGCCTTGTCACAGACCCCCAGTAGATTTCCATGCAAAGGTGCACACTCTTTTTGCTCATCGGCTACAAAGGGAACCCCGCAAAATTTGGCTACAAAGGGAACCCCGCAAAACTTCGCGATAAAGGGAAAGACACATCGTCCATTAGATAAGAACAATTCGAGGGGCGGCGACGCTCAAGGTCGTTGTCCCCTTCCATCCGCTGGGCCCGTGGCTGCTCCGGAGGCTCCGTGAGGCCCGTGGACCCCTAGCTCGGAGCTTAGCTGGGAATGGAAGCGCCATGTCCTCGTCAGAGCCATGCCCCTATTAGGACGATGAGGGCCTGATCCCTGGTCTGAATCTGTAAGCCGCTGTAAAAGCAACAAGGAAAACCGCTCACATCCTCAAGTTTGCCGACTCTGGCCAAAGAGCCACCTGATGTGGGTGTATCAAACTTGGTGTTCGAAGGCACAGCGGAAAACCGACTACTCGCGGCTGAGGAAGGACAAGCCCAGGTTCATTCCACCCCAAGAGTTAGACAGATATGGCCATGGGTCAAAATCCCGTACCCCCAGTGAACATCCCAACTAAAATAGACTAGAATAGGTGGTGCACCTACCCCAAAATGGTACCATTGGTTTTGACCCACAGCCATATCTTCATCCAACGGCTCAGCTGATCTCAGGCACCTGCCGCCACCGGCCGAAACTGTCCAAGGTTGATTCTGTTCAGCAGCTCCTCGCGCTTTCGCGGGGCTCGCTGGACCATGCACCGGGGAAAAAAAAGAAAAGGCTGGTGCTCGGTGCTTCCGTTGAGCTGTGCAACGAAATGGCCTCTTTCAACATGGGCTCGTAAGGCGTACCAGCCAAGTAAAGAATGGCCGTCGGTGCAGTTCAACGGGCTTTTGTTGGCAACTTCTTCGGCCACTCGAGTGCAAGCGGGCCAAGTGGGGAAGCCGACTCTGCCCCGAGGGGTCATCAGCCAAATTTTGGACTGCTTCCTTCCAGACAACCTGCTGTGAAAGTGGTCAAACCCCCAGACATCTGTGTGAATTCTCAGAAAGGCTGGTGAAAAGTGTGGCCAAATGACCCAACCTTTACTACTTTACACTGGGATTCAAATCGTTTTCTCAGAACCTCCGCACCATTCCAGGCCCTTTGTGCAAAGCTCTCCCCCTCCTGATCCTGGGAACTGTTCACTGCCTCGCGGCGCGAGACGGGAGACGGGAGGCTCCGCCCATTTGTCAGTGGACACGTTTGATGGGAAGAAGGTATGTCAAAACGGCAACCAAAGGGAAACCAAAGGGAAAGCCCTTTACCCTCAACTCCGGCAAACTTCTGACCTCCCAAATTTGGGGGGGCCGGGGGGGGGGGGGGCGGGCTTCTTTTGACATGTCCTGAATGGTCTTGAAATCTTTGAAATGGCTGTCCCGCGCAAGGGACCCAAACGCCAGGTTCATGGTGTCCTACCATGTTCTCTCCGGGAAACCGTTTCGCGGAACTGGACCCATTTTGGGGTTCCACATCCGATTTGACTCAAATCCCCCGTCAAATCGGAACCCACAGCAGATACCGAAAAGGCACCCGGGATGGCGATGAAATGGCGCAGGTGCCCCGTCAGACCGGGGTTTCTGTACATTCCTTGGCCCTCGACCCCACCCTCAAAGGCCAACAAAAGTGCCATAAAGTGCCTTTCCTTAAAAAAAAAACAAGAAACGTCCGCCTGTGCCGTTCCCTCCACAAACAAACCAATGGATCCCGCCTGTCTGGCCAGCTTCGGGGAGGGATTCGCCAAAAGTTCGGTACGACTCGGCGCGAACTCCGCCTGGTCCTGTGGATTCAGCTGGCTCATGAGCCTTGCCCAGGCCTGAGCTATGCAACTCAGCGAAGGACCACCAGGCCTTGGCTTTTCCGATGTGACTTCTGGCCTCCCAATGACAACATTGGCTTCCCAAAAGAAGGGGCGCCCTCAAAAACACGGACAGCTTAGGCCATTGTTGCTAACAGGGTCTCTCGCCAAATGGAGGGAACTTGCGTGCGGCTTCCTTGTTGCTTTGCAAAGGACTGAAAAGGAATCACCCTCCAGACTGACAGAACCAAACTGACGTTGGCCTCTTCTCTCTCCCTTCTGGCAACCGAAACTTGCAACCTGCGCTTTGCTCCGGGCATTGCCGAGCATCTGAATGACCATGGCTCACCAAGGGGCCAAAGAGCCCGTGCTACACCGGTTGAAAGCAACTTCTGCGAGTCTCAGATTGTTATGTCAAATCACAAGCTTGGATTATTGCATTGCAATTTGCATCACTGCATGTCGCTTTGGGTTTTCGCCATTTATGTGCTGTCAACCAAACAAAAAACAACGGGGGCCACCTCAGCTTTTGCGTTCGACGAATCGTGGCATGTTTGACAATTGTTGGATTCTGGCGTCTGTGTAGTGAACCCCGCGTAAACGATGACAGATCCTTCCCATGGTGCCAAGTCTCGCCTACGCCATATCTGCGAACTTTGGGCCACGAGTCGCGCGACAGGAAGTCCAGCTGTGGTTCAACACGCCAAATCTGGGGGGGCATTGCAGGAGTTCTGATGTTAACTTCTGTGGATTTCTCTCAATACACCCTTTTTTTGTAGGCCCAAGATTTGGGCAACTGATCAGAGCAAGCTAGACCAAAAAACGTCTACAGAAGTCCCCTCCCAATTCTCGGTCCACTGGAAGGCCCTTGGTATTCAGCTCTTGCTCAATGAAAATAATGCAACTGCGTCTCAGCCCCAAAACAATTCTGGACAATGGTGGGCCAATGAGTGTTTCCTAAAGCCAGGAATCCCCCGTGAAGTGCTCTAGAAAGGAAAGCCAACTGGAAATCAACCATTTCACCGCTCGCCTTTCGAGAGACCAAATTCTGTGTGAATCCGATAAGCAAACTCTGTGTTGCGAATCCGTGCACATGGAAAAAGACGATGCACAGAGCATGGCATGGGTGAACAGCAAGCTGTAGATCATGACGGGCGTAAATCAGAGCATTTTGACAGGCCACGTTTGGAAACTGCGGCATCTGCTTGTGTAGCCAAGCATGTTAAAGCTACACATGACGGTTTTGGGGAGGGCGCCACTGGGGCTGCGGGCTCACCCTAGTGTATATATGTATATATGCAGTTGGTCTGCCTATCTGAAGATAAAACGAAGCCATACGAAGCCAGACGATAATCCAACCAACAGCACAAGCATCAAGATAAGCTAGAGCTCCATGCCCAATCTCAACATTGCAAGCAATCAGAGAACAAACAAAAACGAGGCTCACACAAGTCCTTCGTTTCGGCCTTTGGTCAAGCCCCAAGTTCACCTCGGCGCTTTCTTCGGCTCTTACTCTCCCTGAGCCGAGCTATGTCACAGGCTTCAAGCCAACTGTCGCAACATGCCCCCGTCGCAATGGAGACATGTTTCCAAGTGGCATGAGCATTTGGGCAACCTCTGAGTTACTTGTGATGACTTGGTGTTCCCACCATGTCATCTGTGGCTCAAGTGCGACTCACTCCCCCGCCGTGTTCCCTCTCACTGACATGGTCTTTGCATGTCCTTTGTACACATGGGCCCTCCAATTGCCTCGGCAAAACACAGTCAGCTCGTAGGACGGAAAATGTGACGTGGAGAAATACGGAGAATCGCGAAAAAGTCCCCTTTACTTAGGGTTAACATGCACTTAATCTGGTCAAAGTATGTGCAATGGTCAAAAGGCCCCCTTTACTTGGGGTTAAAAGGGATGGTCATCCACTTGGTAAGGATCCTGGATGACCGCAATGATTCCTATTTCGAGAAAAATGACCCAATCGGCCCAAACGGAGTTTTGACCACGGCTCATTGCTCTTGGAAGTCTCGGATGATCGGGAATGAGACGTGCGAGACACGCAATGGTCAAACAGAACGCTACGTTTGGAAGCTGTTGATCACTGCGGTCTCGACAGGAAGATTGCAAGAATAACTGAAGTGTACGAAGAGAGGTGACAAAAGACGAGAACAATTCCCTTGGTAGCAAGCAATATGTATCAGGAAGTAGCATGCGATGCTTTATGATACGCAAGATAGATACATTCGAGACCAGCGATTGTTCTGTAGCAAGCCAGTGCGCCATCAGTTCTTTTCAAGGCTTCAGAGAGCGCGCTTTCAGTACAAGAAGGTCAACATGATCAGAATCAGCAGCTGACTGTCTCCGTCACAAAAGGAGACACACACGACTGAACCCCGAGGCACCTGTTTGCAAGAACATCTCCTAGACGCCCTTGCTTGTGGTTCCATGCTAATTGTTTGAAGAGTATGTGGAGTACACCCTTCATAGGCTGAATATACAAGGCCCTGTATGATTGCCATGTTGGACATGCACGTGGGTAGACTCAGGTAGATCAAGCCAAAGGAATGCTTGATTGGCATAGCCAGGGGTTTTTGCCAGGGGGCCATTTGCTGGTTCATACATTCGGATATGTCAAGTTGGCCACTGCCACCTCCACAAAACGAAGCAACAAACAAACGGGCTCCTTCTTGCTTTCCCTGTAAACCAACAGATTGTGGTTTCCTTCTTGCTTTCCCTGTCTTGTCGGGCTAGCAACCTTTTCACTCGGCTGCTTGATACTCAAAAGGGGCTGTCGGTTCAAAGTATGTCACAAATCCAACAGGCTCCCCCTGGTGCATGGTGCACCATTTCCAAAATAAATCTACCGGGATATGTACCGGCCTGATTTCCGACTCAAACCCCCCCTCACTACCTCTTCTTCTCCACACTCTTCAACCTGTAGTACTCGGCGCGCATCTTGTCGGTTCCCCATCCCTTGCCCTTGTTGGCGTGCTGGAAGAGGTTCCAGCTATTGCTGCACGCTTTCACCCCCGTCGAGCTCGAGATGCCGAAGATGTCGCCGCCTCGTTCCAGTGGTGCTCCTGCTCAAGCCCCCCTCCATCATACTTCTGCACCACCCATGTTCGGCCCCATTGGTCATGAAGCTCCAGAATCCCCCGGTCCACTTCCACAAAGTCGCAGGGTTTCTCCTTCGCCTTAACGACCTCCTGAGGCTTCACGCCTCTCAGCCTTCTCACACACCCCACCGCCGCACCCGCGGCTTGCTTCGCCACCCATACTGCCCCAATCACCGTCAGGATCACTCCCGCGACGATCAGCGCATCCACCTCGTCCACAGGCATGACGCCCTCCATGGCGGTCGCCTTCCCCACCAAATCTCCTCCGATCACCGCCAGCAGCCTTTACCTTCATGCCAAAGCCGTCTGCAGTGACCGCCTGATCCTCCTTAGCCAAAATGGCCTTCCTCATCATCTTCTTCACCACCGGCATGCCCAGGTCTTCCCTGAATCGCTCAAAGGCCTGGCCGTTCAGCGACTTCGTCATGCCATCTGCCACCAGCTGCTTCCCCGACAGGTGCGTGAGCGACCAACCACCATCTTCCAAGGCCCACCTCAACAAAGCCCTGATCCTCAAGCGCCTCGTCCTCCAGCTCCCTGACCCATTTGATGCCAGGGCTATTGCTGCCACGTTGTCCCCGTAGATCCTTTTCTGGGTGAGCTGCTCACCCAGGATCACCTCCAACAAAGCAGCTGTCGCCCTTCCCGCCACCAACGACTCGCAGTATCCGATCAGCTCCGCTTCCGCCGTGGATTGCGCCACGAACGGCTGTTTGGTCGCCTCCCATGCAATCGGCGAGCCCGCGAAGTAGACCAAGATGCCCTGCACGCTCTTGTGGTCTCCTGCCGTGCCGTAGCTGATGTCAGAGAACACCTCTAGCAACTTAAGTGCCTCTTCACACTCAGGTGATCCCGAGCACCCCATCCAGCTCGTTGCGTTCACATACTTCAGCAACGCCATGCCCACATCCACCACCTGCTTCGGGCGTTTCATGTTCCGGGCCATTGTTGCGATTTTCGCCATCAAATCCGGCCTCGTCTTCGTTGCCAGCCATAGCAACCCGCCCATCAGCGCCTGTGCCCGTCGAAGCATCGTGGGGTCAACCTCTTCTTCCTCCTCCGGAGCCTTGAACATCGGCACCTCCATCTTCTCCCGAACGCCCCATTTCTCCACCAGCTCCTTCGCGTAGGCGCTCTGCCTCAGGTCAAAGCCTTCTTCCGACTTCCACATCTCGAAGCCACAATATCTCAACGGCTCCTCCTCCGAAGGCCATTCAATATCTGACAGCGGCCACTCCTGTTCAATTCTCTTGACCGCCGCCTTGATGATCTCCTGTTTGGCTGCCATCAGCACATCGTCCACGTAGATCGACATAAAGCCCATGCATGTGCCTTTCGATGAGGTCGATCCCTTCAACGTGGCTTCCGATGAGGTTCGGCTCCTCCGTGACCTCGAACTTCATATTCCACTCCATTTCCACGTCATCTTCTTGAACGTGCTATCGCGATGCACCCCCCAGTCCTTCGGGCTTGTGGTTAACCCATAGACCGCTTTGTCTATGATCCACACTTCCTCCTTCTCGGACAACCCACATTCCCGGAAGATCGCTTGCACCTCCATTACCACCGTCTTGGAGTCATCTCTTCTTGGCGCATGGAGGAATGCGGTGCGGATGTCGGTCCCCGCCAGTGACAGCGCTGCCATCTTCGCCAAACTCCTGATTTGGGTGGCATCAGCTTCGGACGCATATGTGTCCTCCTGTGCGGCGCTGCTTGCGAAATTGCCGCACACCACGCCCCGAACCTTTCTCCTTCCATCGGGCGCCTTCCTCGCGCACACTGCCTTTGACGGCAGGAACTCCACCATCCCCGGCAGCTCATTGACCTCCTTCCTGGACACCGGTCTCACCGCTTTCAGCTCCGCGGTCATCGCGATGTATTCCTTCTTGGCCGGCTCAATCCAGTGCTGGAGCTCCGTCCTCACTTCTTGCATTCCTACCGTTTTTGTAACCCACCACTCTTCCTCCAGGCGGTCTGTATCCTCTATCTTCATCTGTCTGAGCTTCATCTCGAGCTCATTTTTCTCTTGAATTCCCTCGCGAACCACCGGGAGCCACCACTCTTGCCCTTCCCCAACTCCATCCAGCAATTCCATTTCTTCAGCTACCCACGTAGCGATGTTGCTGTGGTACTCCAACATCTTCTCCTCCACGGCCTCCCCCTCAACGCGCATCCTGTCTCACTTCCAAATTCACCGCCTCCTGCTGTCTGTTCAGAGCTTCTTCTACCTCGATGTTGATCTCCTCGGGCTCCGGAATTGCATCTGTAGTCGAGAAGAACCTCCCATCATCGCAGCTCCTCACCCAATATCACCCGAGGTGAGTGACATCGCCACGTCCGGGCCCATCACCTTGACCCTTTCTCTGTCCCACCTCCAATCCTGGTAGCGGTCCGTCCATGCCTTCTTTTTCACATAGGCAATGGACACGAACGGCGGCAGTTGTTTTGCAGGATATCCCAAGCTTCGAAGCTGACCCCGCAACATCCTCTCTGCTGCTTGCCGCAGTGCCAAAGGCCTCAACTCCACCTTCTCCTTGGAGGCGCACAAGATCGTCCGTGTCGCCCTTTTCAAAGCACCCACCACTTGCTCCCGTTCTCCTTGTAACTATCGCCGGGCACGGTCGTCTTGTAGATGCCCCTGTCCTCCGCGAATTTCCTGATTGGTGCGGGCTCGTTGCCTCTCGCACCATTGTCTTCCAGTTCTCCAAATCACCCACGTCCTTTTCCTTCTCTTTTTCCTCTGCAACTGCCTCCTCGTCTTCCCCTACCTCCAGCGGCTCCATCTCCTCATCCGCCTCCGGTAGAAGGTCATCTTCTGCAGGCAGCGGATGTTCCTCCTCTTCGCGCACCAGTGACCTCCCATTCATGTCCACCGGGTACGTGTACACGCCCACCAAGAAGTACGCCACCTTTCCTCTCTGGTCGACCCCTTCCTTGGGCTTCCCGGATAGGTCCACCAAGGTGTACGCCTCCGGATGAGTAACCCGTACATGCGGCCTCCCCCGTCCCTGGGCTTGCACACACGTTTTGCAGTCTCTTCTCGCCGGCATGCGGTCGTTGAGGAAGTGCGTTTTCCACCTCTGCAGCTCGTCAACCCGCACCGGCTTCAGCTGCGGCTGAATCTTCAAGTGCATCCTCACCGCCTTCATGATCTCCGCCTTCAATCCTGGCACCCAGCATGCCCAGGATTTCGTCTGCTTGATTCGCTCCTCAAGGCTTCCGGTCCATTCCTCCTCCCCCGTGCCTGGCCCCACCAATCCATCCAGGTGGTTCAAATACGGCACGTTCAGCCCGATCGTCGTCGGCTTCCGCCTCCGATGGCCCAGTGCTCCTTGGTCACATCGAACTAGGTGCATGCCATACTCCGGCTCGAAGGTCTTCCATTCCTGAAACCTCCACACGCTGACAGTCAGGGTTACCATCATCCCGGTACTCCCCAGGATCCCGCTGAGCATCCTCAACCACAGCACCGCGTCCCCATCGACCAGCTCCTTCTCGTACAGGTTCAGCCCCTTTTTGCCGTAGGGCTCTTCCACAGACCTCATGTGAAGGTCCTGGCCCGGGTCGATGGCCGTGTCCACACACATCACCACGACTCCCTGACCTCCAAGGCCATCCATCCACTCCTTCTCATTTGCGCC